GGTCTGTCCTAGCACTCCAACAGAGTTGGCTTGCTTCTGGTTCCATTGATTAAGCAGTATCATCTAGCAGGACCCAAGAAACAGGCTTTCTCTGTTACAGCACCTGGGACTTGGAACAGCATCCCCTGTAGATTTGTACAGTTGCAACCTGTTTGTCTTCAAGGTATCCTTAAAAACTCTTGTTTTTTCCTTCCCCAGGCCTTGGGTTAGGGTATATGGGTGGGATGTATTGGGATATTATGTTTTACTTTGGATGATGATTGTTTTCATGTGTTTTTTTCTATACTTGTGAAGCTGCTCAGAGTCATTTTAGAGTTGGGCAGCCTAAAAATTAAATGAATGGATGAATCAATTGATCAATCAATGCTTTTCTCCTTACAGAGGCCAAAAGTGAGGTAGAATTAAATATAAAACTCATATATAAACAAACACACATGGTCACTAGTGGCAAAATGAAAGAGGATTAAATAGCCCCTAATGAGTAGAATCATGCAGTGTGCTAAGCCAGATTTGTTTTATTCACAGTTTATTTAGTAAGGTACATCTGACTGACTTTATATTATATGCTAAGTATAAACCATATTTTATAAACTACAATGGCTGGGTTCATAAAACCAGCTAAACTAAACATTATGATTTAGTACAATTCTGGAATCCAGTTAATATTATCAATATTAAAATATTAAGGAAGTTAGAATGATAGTAAGAGATGGAAAATCATTACTTGCATTATACTCAGTAAGGATTAACTTAAACTATAATTGAATACAGAAGTTATTTGAATACTGAAAAAGAGTGTTATGTGATTATTTAATTTAAATATTTATTATGAGATAATGATTGAGTTCACTTAAACATTTTATGTTTTCTGTAGCACAGTACAGTTGTAAAATTCAACATATAAAATCTACCTAGAACCAAGCAGCAAGTTAAGTCTACTTTAAGAAAAAAACTCAGTGCTCTGTTCCCCTTTAAGCACAGAATAGTTCCCTCTGTTAAATTGATGGTTTTCTAATGATGATGTAAGAAATGTACTCCACCAAAAATGTATGACCCAAAATTATCCCAAAATTTCTAAATGATCTATTTGTGCTCACTAGCTAAGACAAGCCTTTCTAAAACCTAATTAACCATTAATGTAAATTATTACTTCCCTTTTGTTTAAAAACATAATTATTGCATTAAGATTATTCCACCAGCATGACACAAGAATATAATAAGCACACAATTCTAAAAAATAATGTTCCCAACAGCTCATCTGAGAAAGTATAAACTTGGTGCACAATCAGTTTTATTTCACAGGATGCACTATTATGATACATAGAAGCCCCATTCACACATTTCTGAATAGACTTCCTTAGCTAGTGAGCTTAGCTCCACCTGTAATCATCCACAGATTAACATGACAGAGAAATCCTTTTGCTCACAGGTAAACTTAAGCACAGTCAAGACTGCTTACCTCACTCTTTCTGGAATATATTAACAGACAAGTCTCAAACCCATCACTGCAGGACTTTATCATGATAAAGCAACTAAACTAACTGGCCTTTAAGACCTTTCTAAAGGTCTTAAAAGCCAATTAATTTAGTTGCTTTATCATGATATAGGGTTTTCTGGATTATGATTTTAGAACTAGATGCATGTTGTTTTTCTTAGTTTTGCTGCATTTTTATTACCTTAAATTTAATATTTTTATTGTTATCTTGGATTTTGAGCCTTAATATGTGGCCTAAAACATGTGGTCACAAGATGGAAGCTGAAAGTTAGAAAGCTAACTATATGGCAACTCATTTTATACAATGTCCAACATGAACTGGATTTATATTAAAGGCCAATAGAAAGCATCCTGGGAGCTGGCAGAACACCATAGCTGCAGTTCAGTTAACAGTTCCGCAAATGCTTCCTTTCCCATAAGTAGGTTGCTGCCAGGTTATGCTTCTAGAAAAGAGCAGAGCTGGCATGTATATGTTTTTTCATCTCTTTCTACTAGCATAGTTTTAAATAAAATAAAACGGAAATAAGGGAAAAGGGGAAAATGTGGTTTTAAAGTCTTTGAGAAAAAAAAAACTTGCCTTGTTGGCATGGTTTGTTAACTGCAGTCCAAATGATAAAAATTGTCATTTTGGATATAAAGAGATTTATGAAACAGGCAAATACATTGCATTGGCAAAGTTGCAAAGAAAATTAGGAAAGCATGGGAACGTCTTATGAAAAGAATATGAGCAAGATAAGAAGCATGCCTGCAAAGAGCTAATTTAACTAGCTGCTATTCTAACTGGCATATTTAACCATCTGAATATGGAAAATATTACACTGGCATGTAGCAGTCAAATGATTGCTTAAAAAGGAAAGCTACTGCAGTAACCTCAATATACAGACAAATTGAAAGGCAGTCTTCTCCACTTTGCATTAACTCTCTTTTCAGTTTCATTCTCTTGCATACAAAAGAACACTATTAGTTCTTCATGTTCGTGGCTCCCCTTGTTCATACTGTTTTTAGTTTCCTGCCATGTTTTATTTGCTCCAAAAATCATTATCTTCACATCACCCTGCTCAAGAAATTACTGAAATACCTGGCATTCAGATATAACACTTTTTTCTTTCTCTCAATTGAAAGGCATTGTCGAGTTATTCTCTTCCAATCCTCTACTCAATGCAACATTTACAATACTGCATTTTAAATAGCATTTAAAATATCTCCAGTAAAAGGGAGCAGCCACCATTTTTCAATATCTTCTCTTCAACAGTAAAGGAACAAGCAGTCAAGGAACATGCACAGACTAGCACTTGGTAGAGTAGCCATGAAGGCCTTGGAAAAGATATTCAGATGCCATGATGTGCTTATATCTATAAAGGACAGAACAGTGCAGGCAACGGTAATCCCTGTGATACTCTATGGAAGTGAAAGTTGGAGCAGGATATGAAAGAGTATTAACACTGTTGAAATTTTATGTTGGAGAAGACTTCTGAAAACACCACACAGAGCTAAGAAAACAAATGGATCATTGAACCAATCAACCCAGAGTTCTCACTCAAGGCACAAATGACCCAGCTCATACCTCAGACACATTATGTGAAGACCTAGCTCTTGGGAGAAGGCTCTAATGCTGGGAAAGGTGGAAGGAAAGGGTAGAAGAAGACAACCAACAGTAAAGTGGTCAGTTACAATGGCAACGGGTGCACCATTGGAAGGACCAGGGACAGAAAAAAATCTATCTATGTGGTTGCTAATAGCTAAGACCAATGTAATGGCACATAATCAATCAATCTGTTTCACTGTTGCTCTTGCAAAGTTTCTTCTAAAGTTCTTCTGGAATGTGCTTTCCTGAAGTTCTACTAATTAGTTCTATTTTCCTCTTTGCTCTTCTGCATGATAACTTTTAAGCCATCTTGTCTTCCTTTAGCTTTCCTTGTTCAAACTAAGCCCAGGATTTTTATCTAATCCTCCTAAGATTTGATTTCCAGATCCCTTACCATTCTATGCAACTCCTTTCGATACACATTCCAGTTTGTTCACATGCTTCTTAAAAGAACCAAATACTCAGTAATGCCCAAGGCAGAGAAAAGTAAATACAGGTAGTCCCCAGTTTAAGAATGAGTTCCATTCCAAAGGTCTGTTCTTAAATCGAATTTGTATGTAAGCCAGAACAGTATTATTATATCGTGTAATGAACTTGAACCATTGTGTATTTAACTTAAATCATTGTGTGTTTAACTGGAATTTTGCTACAACAGGCTCCATTCTTAACTATGAGATATCCCTAAACTGGGCGTTCTTAACCCAGGGACTCCCTCTATATATAGCTTAACATGTATAAAAAGGGAAAGAACATAAACATGTACGCAAGTCTGAACCCAACATTCTGTAAAGTATACTGTAAATTCTGTAAATTTACTGTAAGCATGTTCAGCTAAATGTATTTATACATTTCTTACAATTAGGAGCTCTGTAGCAAAAACAAACAAGAAAAAGCCAAAGTGTTAATAAATAAAATAAGGCAATAGCAACATCAGATGCTTGGGGGTTTGAGTTGTTTGTTTTTGACAAAACAAAAAGTTGACCTGGACTTACAGGAAAATATATTGTGCCTTGTCACCAATCATGCACACATAAAAGGGGCAAAGCAGCAGAAAGTATGGTTCAGGAGAACTTCTAAGCTATGAGCCTGAATGCAAACTTATCTAGAACAAGGTGAACAATATAAAACAAAAAAGCAATTATACTGTTTATCCAAACTCATGCATGGAATGTTTCCAAAACAATTAATTAAAAATCCTGGAACTCAGTATAAAAAGTAGGGCAAGAGAATTTCAGAGTTGTGCATTTTGTACATAAGTGGACTTTTAATACATCTTGAATCTTTCAGCCTAACCATTTCTTCTTTTTGGTCTGTAATCAGCATGTTAAATTAGATTACCACAATCACTTCCTTGAAAATAAGAGTTAATTTTGATTCTCCTAAATTTAGTTGCAGAAATTCAGATCAGAGCTCCATTTTATGGCAGTTTATAGTCACATATCTATATTAATTATTATATAAGGACTCCCAGAAAATATTGAAAAAGTATATACAGTAACAACACATTTGTATATATTATGCCAAGACCTAATCTAAGAATAAAAAGACACTAGAATATTATTAGAATATTTAAAACAGGACTATTGAGAATTGCATATTTATCCCACAAAACTACCAATCCACTTGTTTGAAACATATATACAAACTAATTCATTAGTTCTAGACTAATGAAGTCAATAAAATACGAATGAAAATCTTGTATAAATGCGTGCAGCTATAAATGACTTGCAGCCTGACTTAGGCTCATACTGTTAAAATAAATTGTTTCTCAATTTTCTGTCAATAGGACTATACTTTAGTAGAAGATGCCGTCCTCACTAAGCTAATTTTTAAGGACTATAGTTCTTTATAAACACCACTGTAATTAAGACAGCAAAGATTGATTCATAATGAGAAATAAAATCTACTAATAATATTTACCTGTGGACATAATGTAGCTGATGTACCGAATCAATTGCTACCACCATTTCAGCTAAATAAAAGCGAGCCATTTCTTCAGGTAACCGGTCCTCAAACTTACTGAGCAAGGTAAGCAGATCTCCACCAACATAGTAATCCATAACAAGGTACTAGGAATACAGAAAACAATTTTCATAGAAATGCAGTTGGGCAGTAAGTATAACAAATTGGATAAGACCTAGAACTTGTTCTTCAGAATGATCAGGGCTGAGTAAATCTTCTGGAAGTGGGTGTTTTGTATATACTCCTGTTCATTACATAACACCTCTTTCAAAGACTTCGCACAGCCCTAATAATTTTTTTCTACAGAAAGAGTATATTGGAAGTGCAATAATGCTGGAGCAAAACACTACAGAAGTGCCCTGCTATAAAAGAAATAATCTGTGGCTTATTCTTCTCCCATGTCTATCCTTCAAAAGTAAAGCACTATCTAATAGCTTAGATTGGTAAGGCCTGAGTGAGACATGAAATATCACGCTCCTCTTCAAAACTACACAAAAAAGGCAACTTTAAAAGCATATAGCTAGTTTACAAAAAATCTATTCTCATACCAGTGCTTGGGATAATGTATCACTAAGATTTGACGTATTTTGACTGTAGTGATTTTTTTAAAAAAAGGATTAAGATGGTCAGATATTCAAAATTGTAATTACATTTATACATAATATTCACCCATAACCCTTTAAAAAGTAACTGGGCCACACTAGCGCCTCATAAGTGGCTAACTTCTTGTGCCATGAGAAGCTGGCAAATTATGTCTTTTAAATCACCATTTATTCAGAATTAAAGCATCTTGCCAGAAGTAATGTTATGTGCTTGGATAACCCATTTCTCCATTGTCAAACATGTGCAGATAATATTGGTTTGTTTGTGTATTTATATATCCCATTTATATAGCCACCCATCTCACACAAAGCAACTCTATAGAAGTTATACCTCTTTGTCCATTCATAGGAACAATTAACAATTGCTCATATGGTAGCATTGCAGCATACTTACCGTTGAACTATTTTAGTTATCAGTGACAAGTAAACAGGTAAATTAAAAATAGATATTATGTTCAAAGGTTACATTTAAATAATACTCACTAAATAATTTTCATCCTGGAAGGCATAGTGCAATGTTGTAATCCACTGGTTATCCCCATTCACCAAAACATCCCTCTCTTCTCGAAAACAAGCTGTCTAAAGAATAGACAAATAATAATAATAATAATAATAATAATAGTAGTAGTAGTAGTAGTAGTAGTAGTAGGTAAAATGTACAGTCATTTTTAATTCTATTTATTTAAACAATAATACTGAAGATATAGGAAATAATAAGATTGTCATTTATAAAATTAATTTTCATTGTAATTATGATAATCCAAAGCAGAGAAGAGGGTATAAAATATGGTTAAAATAATAAAATTACTTTTAAAATCATAAAACTATAACATTAGTTCTTATAAATCCACAACTACATATTAAAAACAAGAACAGCAAGAACTGTGAAACACAGCTACATAGTTTCAGTTAAAAGCCTAGGTAAATAATTATTCAGTAATGTCTCAAGTCAGGGCACTAATATCAAAAACATCCTGTCCTGGGTTGCCATATAGTAAATCCTACATAAATAGTAAATGCAGCACCATCAGAACAGCATTCTTCCTACATCTTAGTACACTACCTATGATACAGGCAAAAAGACAATTATTAGGAGATTGCATCATTCTATTCTGAATTTACCAAGAGTTGGGTTCATTGAATGACTTGTATCATACTGTTATAATAGAATTAATACTGGTCACAATCAGAACCAATGTGAAGAATCCCACCAGAACTATTTTTCTGATTAAAAATTAAAACAGTTTAGGCAGAAGTACTTTTTTTGTGAGTCAAACACCTCCTTTAATCATGGGGCCAGTTCTGTCTTGATTTAAACTACTACAAGGGGCAAAGGTCAAGTAAGAAAGTGATGGCCATCTTCCCACACAGTACAGTTTGCTCTGGCAACTTCAAAAAAGAAGGTGGGAATACGGCAAATATGATTTTATTTCGTGCCCAAAAACTGACATTGCCAACCATTAATTGGGCACTGTGCAGATGATTCTAATCCAAAAGCATCAGCCAAATGGGCAAAAATGGATGCCTATATCTGGTATACGAAAATCTTTAGGGCAAGTAATTCTAAAAACAGAAGGAATTTATTAATGGAAACTTAATCTGCATGTTGCCCTGTGATCAAACAACTGTTTGAATGCTTATAAGCTGAATAATCACATTTTTTAGATTCTCTACTTCTATGCAAAAAAAATCCTATAGCAAATAAAATCTGTATTCTAAAAAGTAGAGATCAAAACTTGACAGAAGGATAATAAATCTGTTTTACAAGATGATGAATACAGACCATTCAAACAGAAGTAAAATATGATAATGAAAAATATGACAAGAACATATTGTAATATTAAATACTCTTTCAAGATATATTGCATTTAGCAATAAACCAGGTTTTTCATCAGCTGGTCAGATTCTAATTCAAAGAGCAAAAAATCACAAACTTAATCGCTACTTGACCATTACTTGAATCTTACCTCAGCTCTTTTCAGCATCTCCCATTTATTTAATATTTTCATGGCAAACACTTTATCTGCATTTTTTAATTTCACAACAGCAACCTGTAAAAATAAAATAAAATTTTAAAAAATGTGGACATTAAAAAACCTCATGATTTTTCAGAATGCCACTACAGATGCATTTCTAATCCCAAAATTTATTTTAGTGATAAAGAAATACAGATTTTAGAATTCAGCATGGTGTAATACTTGTGCTTCACCAGAACAGATAGAATATATTAGGATTTTTAAATCCTTCCTACACAGTGGTGCTTAAAAGTTTGTGAACCCTTTTGAATTTTCAATACTACTGCATAAATATTACCTAAAATTGGATTTGTTCTCCACACAAGTCCTAAAACTAGATAAAGCAAACCCAATTAAACAAATGAGTCAAAAACATTAGAATTGTTCATTTACTTATTGTGGAAAAGTATCCAAAGCTACATATTTGTGTGTGGCAAAAGGATGTAAACCTTTGCTTTCAGTAACTGGTGTGCCCCCCTTCAGCAGCAATAACTGCAATTAACATTTTCGATAACTGTTGTTCAGTCCTGCACATTGGCTTGAAGGAATTTTAGCCCATTCCTCCTAACAGAACAGCTTCAATTCAGAGATGTTGGTATGCTTCCTTCCATTAACTGCCTGATTTTGGTACTTCTACAACATTTCTATAGGATTAAGGTCAGGACTTTGACTTGGCCATTCCAAAACATTAACTTTCTTCTGCTTTAACCATTCTTTGGTCATATGACGTGTGTTTTGGGTCGTTGTCTTGCTGCATGACCCACTTTCTCTTGAGTTTCAGTTCATGGAGAGATACCCTGACATTTTCCTGTAGAATTTGCTGTTACAATTCAAAATTCATAGTTCTGTCAATGATGATAAGCTGTCCTAGTCCAGAGGCAGGAGAGTAGGCCCAAACTGTGATAATGCCACCATCATGTTTCAAAAGATGGGATAAGGTTCCTACGCTTGGATGCAGTGTTTCCCTTTTGCCAAATAGAACACTATTCATTCAAGCCCATAAGTTCTATTTTGGTCTCATGTGTCCACAGAACATTCTTCCAGTAGCCTTCTGGCTTATCCATGTGGTCTTTTGCAAACTCTAGATGGGCAGCAATGTTCTTTTTGGAGAGTAGTGGCTTTCTCCTTGTAACTCTGCCATGTCACCATTGTTGTTCAGTGTTCTCCTGATGGTGGTCTCACGAACACTGACATTTACTAATGCAAGAAAAGCCTTTAGTTCCTTAGATGTTACCCTGGGATTCTTTGAAACCTTCCGGAGTATTACACACCTTGCTCTTGGTGTGATCTTGGTTGGTCGACCACTCCTGGGGAGGGTAACAATGGTGTTGAATTGCTCCATTTGTACATAATCTGCCTGACAGTGGACTGGTGGAGTCCAAACTCTTTGGAAATAGTGTTGTAACCTTTTCCAGCCTGGTGAGCATCAACAACTGTTTTTCAGAAGTCCTCAGAAATCTCTTTGTTTGAGCCATGACACTTCCACATAGCTGTGTCATGAAGATTAGAATTTGACAGTGAATACCCAGAATTCTGTTCTTTAAATAAGGCAGAACTTCCCACACTCACACCTGTTTATCATCCCATTGATTGAAACACCTCACTCTAATTTCCCCTTCAAATTAACTGATAATCCTAGAGGTTCACATACTATTGCCACACACAAATATGTCACTTTGGATCATCTTCTGCAATAAATCAATGAGCAAGTGGCTTTCCGGGCACTGCAACTTGCTGGCACTTGCTGGGGCAGGTGGTGGCAGCTGCAGTTTCCAAGGGCAGTTGTGGCTTCGCGCTGCAGTTCAGGGAATCTTGCAGCCCCAGGGCAACAAGAAACCAGTGAGCTACAGCATGACAAGCAGCCCAGTGCCGCGTGGTTCTGGGGCTGCTTGCCGCTCTCTCCAAGGCGGGGTGCAGGGCTACTAAAAGGGCAGAGATGGGGGGAGCGAGATAGGCAGGTGGGGGGAGTTGAAGCACCCCTGCTGTCGTAAGTGTGGGCAGGCTGACAAGCACCCAAATTTTGATCACATGACTGTAATCAATGCAATGGCCATAACTTCAGGGACCAGTCATAAGTCCATTTTTCAGCACCATCATTACTTCAAACGGTTGCTGAATGAATGGTTGTAAGTCAGGGACTACCTGTATTGCAGGCTGACCTGACATTACGTACAGGTAGTCCTCACTTACAAACCAGAATTGGAACCTGGTTGCTAAACATTGTGGTCATTAAGCGAATCATCACATGACCGGACTCGATTTTACAACGTTTTTTGCAGTGGCCATTAAGCGAATCACTGGGGTGGTTAAGCAAATCATGGGGTGGTTAAGTGAATCACATGGTTCCCCATTGATTTTGCTTGCCAGAAGCTAGCTGGGAAGGTTGCAAATGGCAATCATGTGACCCTGGGATGCTGCAACCATCGTAAGTGCAAGCTGATTGCCAAGCACCCAGATCATGATCACATGACCACAGAGGTGCTGCGACGGTCATAACTTTGGGCACTGGTTGTAAGTCACTTTAGTGCCATCGTAACTTCAAGTGGTCGCTAAACGAATGGTTGTTAAGAAAAGGCTACCTGTAGCAACAGCTGGAGTTCAGAGCTTCTGAAGCTTTAGAGATCAGGTTTGGGGAATGAGTACAGGAGGCCAGAATGTAGCATCAGTCTTAAACACTGAGGTCATCTTCCCTGGGCATGGCCCACCCCGTTTCCCCATGCCCATCACCGCTGCAATGCCATAAAAAGCAAACCAGAGTTGGAATGTCATTGCATCCAGTACTTCCCTAAGAGCTAACATAGCTGTAGGCAGAATTCCATACTTCACAAGGTTTTTGGACCCTATCATTCTCAATCTATAAGGGGTGTCAAATGTGCAGTTTTCAAGATGGGCCACAAACAAAATTTTTCAGTAAGTGAAACCTGTAATTCATTAACAAAATGGAAGAAAAAAATCTGAGGGGGGATCTAAAATTTCCTGCTACTGTGATCCCCTAAAATAATGAATCTGTGTGAAATAACAACAACAACAACTGCTGAAATAACAGAAGTTTCTTCAGTCATGTGGGGCTTTTTGAACTGAGCAATTCTGTGTCCAGGCCTGCAAAGGGAAACCAGAGCCTTGTTACTTGTTCAAGGCTTTACCTCATTGTTAATTCTATTCTCTGACCAATTGTTTTGGTTGTCACAGTAACAGCGTATGAAGGATGGCTCATAGCATCCTTGTATTATTGAATGGGAAGCACATAGTTATTTCATTATTTATTGGCTTTAAAAGCTGTCCAAATCTTCAGGATACTAGGTGGTACGCATCAACATAGAAAAGTATATAATCAACATAAAAAGAGTAGAATCTCTCAACAGTATTGTAAAATAAATAAGGTAATCAAAATAACCAAGATGGCTAAAATGACTAATTTTAGGCACCTAAAATAGCTTTTAAAAATTCCTTTTCTCCTCCCCATTGGCACTGCCTATGCTTGTGTTGCTTAGATTCCTGGCATAGACTGAAACAACATTGTGAATCAACACAACTCAGTCTAATCAGCAGTCTCATTAGAACATGACAAATATTGTATATACGGAGACGCAATAAACTGTAAACAAATCAAGATGACTTCTTTACCTCAAACTCATGAAATCATAGCTTGTATCACAAAATCCACAACTGGAGATAGGAATGCCTCTTAGCAGTAAGCAGTATAAGTGAGGAACAGAAAATTGTAACTTATATAGAGCCGATTAATTTAAAATTATACTTTAACTTAGTAGCCCCTACACTGGTATTTGTTCTTATAGATCATTAGGAATTAATGATTATGCTACTGACATAAGCACAATCTTGAAACATTAATTAAGACATTTACTAACTTCCCCATGGAGACAAAAGTCATAACCAGTATGAACCAGTTTTTCCAACTGTATTGCTCAAGAAATTTCATCGTGTGCACGCTCCAATCAATATATAACAACAGGCATGTACAGCAAAACCCACTGTCATGCTTGCAATCTCCCCCTGCCCCCCAAATGTATAGAAAGCTTTTGCCTTCTGAGAATTCTTATTAGCTTAAATACCTAATTCTTAGTTGCTACTATTCTTATTAGCATATGCCTTTGATCTAGAATTAGCAGTCAATTAACACTAACCTCTCTTTGGCTCTTTTTCCACAGATTCCACAGATCTTTTTTAACAGATACTATTAAACAAGAAAAAAAGCCAAATATCTCCCAGTGCCCATTATTAAACAATTAAACAGATTAAACAGATTCCAGTCATGTATTCTTAGACTCCTTCCCCCAAATGGTATTACTGGTCTCTTTAGAATATAAAATGCTATAATAACAGTATCCATTTCTAAGAAGCTGAAGGAAACATAATTCTCAGGGCTCCCATGCTCACAGGAGAGGTGGGGTAGTTGCCAATGGTCATGATGGCGGATAAATCCTAAAATAAGACATAAAATGCTCATATCTAGAACAATTAAGATATACTGTATATTAACACAAGGTATTTCAGAATGGGTTAGTTCAAATTCTTTTTTTTCTCAACTGGAAATTTATCTTCATCACTATTAAATATATGTATACATACACATATGCACACAACGGTAGCTGAAACAGCAAACAGAACAGAAATGTAAAGTGATAACTGCATACTTTCCCTAGCCTCTCAAAAAAGTCTGCCACTGTGATTTATTAAAACTGAATATTTAATGTTTTTAGAAGTGTGTTTTTCCTCCATGAATAGCCTGCTAAAAATGTGTGGTATGTGCTGATATAAACATTTTGGTTTTAGTTTGAAGGAAAGGGAAAAGGCAAAATTCTTCATCCATATTTCCCACAAATAGTTATGCTGTCTGGCTTGCTGTCAAATGATTTCTCCCTCTTTACTAGGTTAGGTCTCTTGCGTATTTATACATTAACAGATTTGCCTTTCCTTCTTCAAATATTTTAATGGATGAAGATATCTGGGGGGGAAAAAAATCTCCTAACAGATTCCTATTGCTTCTTGCATAGGACAAAAATTTTAAAGCAACATGGTAGAAAGTAACCAGAGTATTAGCTATTATGTACTCATTTGACTTGAACAGTGGCAGATATGTATTGTCCATCCAGACTAGCACAAACTGCCCTTCTCTCGAACGAAAAGTGATGAAGAACTAGACAGCTGCATGCAGTCCTTATTCTAAATTAAGAAAAAGCTCTACTCCTGTACACTAGACTTATTTTCCCTGTAAATTATATCTATTCATGTAGAATGAGGGTTAGATGAATAACCTTTTGAAAATCAGATTTCATTCCCTCACTAACCATCTATACATTCTTCTTATATCTCCAAAGCAAACTTTATTTGACCTTGGAATCAGCTTGAAAGCACATATTAACTTAAGATCTTTCAGTGCCATATACAGTTCAAGTTCATGCTGCTGATGGGTTATAGATTATTTTTAGGGAGGCACATAATTTTCCAGGGTGTGTAGTAAGTCTTACTAAAACTTTTTTTGTAGTTCCTTAGAATTCCTCAAATGCCTTTTGAGAAACAATCTAGAAGTTCACATCAAAGTTTTTATTAAAAGAAAAGTAGGGACAACTGTATTATTAATTTGCCAGACCTGAGTATATATTTCAGACATCAAGGATTGCATCAAGAGGTAAACAGGCAGGCATGCTGATCTTTAAAACATACATTTTATGCTGGACAACTATCTGAACTAAGAAGTCAAGTACATATTCACAGAAAAAATGTTAGGTCTAAACTAAACTTCATGGAAGTAAATTTCATTGGATTATATCCTGTCTTTTCCCCAGAGCAATAGGCAATCAGAAAAATAGTCCTATGAGATACACTGGGGTGACAAAAATAACTGAACATATGTCACCCCGTTAGCTTCAGTTGGGGTGCATATGAACCTGAGTCTCCCTAATCCTAATCCAGCAATTTAACTACATCATATTAGTTCTCTAAATTGCTTCAGTGATTATTGATATATAAGTAGAGATATGACATAGTCATCTAATACGCTTTGCAAATCACCATTTTACTGTGAAACAAAATTTCCAAACAATGTACATTCCTCACAGCAAAGATGTTCAGCTTCTTGAATATTCTGTTTGCCTTTTCTACCTCCATAAGCAGAATGTTACTTCTGAGTTGAAATGACCAGTATTTCACAGAAAGCTGAGGGGAGCTTGCTGGTCTTTCTCTTTTTTAAAAATCCAAATATAGATTTATTTATTTTTTTTACAAATACTGAATACTGGGTAGACATTTTTAGAGACCTATTCCACCATGGATTGTATCCAACAGTATCCATCGACCAATGAACTTGTAGAACAGATGGACAGGCAGGGTACACACACACAAAAAGGAGGATGGCAGGAAGGGAAAAGGAAAGAAAACATTATAGTTCACAGGCAGAAATCACCTAGTAATCTTAACCTCTCTTTCAAAGAGTATTATAATAAAGCATTATGTTTTACCAACACTGTATGAATTCAGCTCATCCATGTGCATGCAGAATTATCAAAATGCATATGTACAGAGATATAGTGACAGTTTATTTGCCATTTTGTTACTCCTTATTCCTCATAAGAGTAATCCTTTCAGACTTTTCACACAATTTACCAGAATTTCACCATACTAAGCAATGTGGACGTTGTACAGACAATAAGAAATTAGTGATAATCTTGCCCTGATCCAGACTGACCAGGCCTGGAAATCAACTCTACAGGTAGGCTAAAACTACTCTTACTGAGATTGGCTATAATAACAGAATCTTTCAAGCCTGACTGTGCTGGACCTCCTCCTTCTTACACTTCAGTGACTCAAGGAGGCGCTACTGAGCTGCTTCCAAAAATTATCTTCTTGTTCTGGACTTTAAAAAAATGCTTCAGTCCCTTTTGCCTAGGTAATGGTTCCTGCATATCTCCATCAAGGTCATCTTCCTTCCTCTCTACATAATGTCAGCTGACAGCACCTCAAATAACAGGTATCTTTTAACACTAAGGAAGCCACTTACAACTCTGATCAGTGTGACTGCAACAGCAGAGATGCAAGAAGCCAAAGTGGTGCTAATGTCAGAATCCAGAGGACATCACCTATGAGGCAAGAAGCATATGCTCCTTCACTGATTGTTGTAAAACTGGTAATGCCAGAAATGACAATGCTTAGCTTTGGGAGGAAGATGCAGACTGAATGGAGAGGTTCTCCCCATTCTGATGTAAGACCTCTATCTGGGAAAAGAGGAAAGGTTAAAGAGGAAGGTGGATGGGCAGCTGCCCAGATACCTATGATTGCCAAGTCAGAACACTGGATCTTAAGAAAGTACTTTTCAGCTCATTTTTGGGGTCCTTTGGCCACAGAATATTATCCATAAATATTGATACCTATTGTTCATCACTAACAATATTTTTTTTGACAGATACTTGAGGGATTGTATTGCCTGTTTACTTCCAGTATAAAATCACAACCTACTAATAGGTATAAACTTAAAAGCTCTCTGTAAGGTGGAACTTTCTGAGTAATGCAATCTCACAGTTAAGTTCTTCTCAACTCTATATTATACTGCTGATTAACATCATATATGGTTTGTGACCTATCAGTCTCTTAAAAATTAACAAAAGTAAAAGTCTAATGTCATTAGTATAATGCAAAAGGCCTATGAATTACTGCATGAAAAAGCAAATGTATGATTAAATCTAATGACACCCTCCATATAGTGTACTTTCATATCATGAACCTCAGAGATGTCTTCTGCAATTTAACTATACGTATTATGTTTCTGCATTAGTAAACTTTTATCATAACACAGTGCAAAAACATCCAAATCTTACCTCCCCAAAGGCACCTCGGCCAATCACTTTCAATATTTCAAAGTCATCTTTATGCAGTCGCATCTGCTTCACCTTAGAAGTGAAAGACTTGGCTGAAAAACAGAAAAATATTAATCACTTTAAATAATATAGTTACATATTAAAAGCCTATACAATTTTAGAAATAGTTGCAATAACAAACACTGCATAATCCACTATCTGCTGACAAGTCATTTAAAATACATGGATTTGTTGACATAGTCATGATATAATATTCCAAATGCATGCTTACAAAAATTAATTATGATATATATATGTATGTATGTATGCATGTATGTATGTATATATGTATGTAATCCTTGCAAGAGAAATCTTGCCATATCTTACAGACCTGGAAGACTGTTTGTTGCTTCAACAATTCCACATAACAGACTTCCCAATAATCACTTGGCTAAAAGTTATATTCCTCTTTCCACAGTTCTATGTTAAAGTTAAAAACAAAATAAAATTTGGATATAATATTCTAGGTTTGGATATAACGCCAAAAATAATGGAACAGTTTCCAACATGTCCCACTATGACATGTTGGGAACTGTAACACAAGTTGCTTCAGTAGCAAATTTTCCTTTCTAGTCCATCCTATCCAGTCATTTTTGAAATCTCATAAAACTAGAAAAAAAAAAAATAGAAAACTTCACCCTCTTAAAGTAACATGGACAAAGTATTGAAAATTGCCTTTGGATTCTTTTCAGGATATAAAAAGGTAACAGTAAAAAGTTTTGGTTAATTCCTGATGATTACATGGACATAACCATTCAATTATTTTGGCAAGGGTATGGAAATAGTTTGCCAGTGCCACCTTCTGTGATGTTTTTCGAATTCCACTTTAGCCTACAACTTGAAAAGGAGGGGCAAGAGGGCAGAACCCTGCAGCACCCACACAGGAAGGGCCTAGGGAGTGACCTCTCCAGCCCCCAACCAACACCATCCCTGAGTGAGGTCAACTGTTGTGTGGGGTTTGGTATCATCAGTATGCTGATGATTCCAATTATACCTTTTGACTCTGCGCCAGCCAAGTAAGGCTATCAAGTTTCTGTCCCAGTGCCTAGAGGCAGTGTGGGTTTGGATGGGGAGAAATTGTCTCCAACTCAATCCCACCTGACTGAATGCTGTGGGTGTTAGGGCCACCCAGATCTTTGGGGATATTCCATCTTTGACCTTGTATGGGGTAGCACTTTCCCCTTCAAGGTTGGCATCTAATCTGTAGGTCTGCCAGAACTTGCAGCTCCTGCTTGAAGAGCAGGTTAGCTGTGGGCAAGAAGGCCTTTGCATAACTCGATCTGGTGAACCAGTTGCACCCTTTCCTAGATTCCTAGGTCATTTGTGCCCTAGCCACTTTGCATGACTGTAATATGCTGTATTTGGGGCTGACTGGAAGCTTCTACTGGTCCAGAACACAGCAGTGCAAGCAGTAATGTGCATGCCTCGGTATGCTTATGTAACACCTCTGCTTCATGAGCTGCACTGGTTGCCAGTTTACTTCTGGGTGTGATTCAAGGTGTTGGTTGTTACCTATAAAGCCCTACAAGGCATACAGCCCAGTTACTTGAGGGATTGCCTGTTTCCCATAGCATCTGCCCAACCAATTTGATCCTGCATGGTTGGTGCACTCCAGGTTACTTTGATTAAACAATGTAATCTATCAAGACTCTGCACCTTCTCTGTAGCAGCCCCTGCATTCTGGAATGAGGATGGCCCCCACTCTGCTGTTGTTTAGAACAGCTGTGAAGACTTGGTTCTTCATCTGTGCCTTCGGCGAGGGAGAGTAAGACCCCTCACTTCATTGCACTTGCCATATTTTATCTTTATCTTTTATTGATTTTACTGCAATCTCTTTGATTGTTGTGTGCTGGCCAGAGTCGTTAAGAGTCAGGCAGCATACAAGTTTAATAATGTATTATTATTATTACTATTAAAAGTAATGGAAACCAGGATGGCTCATTCTCAATTGCTGCTGTGGCTTTGTGGAATACCCTACACTTAGAATACAGACATGCTCCATGCCTTCCAACATTCCAGAAGCTACTGAAGATGAAACTTTTCTGAAGAGTGATTTTTTTTCTAATTTAGTTGACTTTGAATTAACTGACTTATTTATTGAAATTGTTTTGAATTCTTTTATGATTTAGCTATTCTTCATTATAATTTATCCTTGTATTGTTGTAACCTATTAGTTACAACTAATTATTAGTTGCTTTAATTTATTTATATTTATTGTGGACATTTTTAACTCTTAGGGATGCTTTTGTTGATTGTGCTGTAAACTGCCATGAGTCTGTATTGATTTGGCAGTAAACTAGTAGAATAAATAAATGTAGGAAAACAGATATTACATCTGTTTTTTATGTTTTGAATAAGGGAGCATGAACATAGTCCTTATCCGCAAATCCCTAAACAAAGTCATATTTTCCTTGGACCATACAGCAATTGGGAAGGTAGTGGTCCCCACTACCAGAAAATGAGTTTAAGGATTTGAACATAGTTGCAGACAGTACACTCATGCTCCCCTCATCCTCCTAAGCACTTTTTTCCTCCAAATCCAAAGTACAGCACGGCCCTACTGAATACAGGACTATATTTTACTGTGCTGTCCAGAGAATGCTCTAATTTTCAGAATATATAAATACCTCCACAAGGCAGTCTCATGTCTAGAAATATGACCTGGAAAAAATTCAATTTACAATAAAATTAACATATGCTATATGTAAGTGCAATTAAATCTGAAAATAGACCAATAGCTTTTTGAAAATCTGGATACTCCAGAATTTCCATAGGGGGAAAAAAAGGATTATTTATCTATCTAAAATATATCAAGTACATATGCATTACATGCTATCTCTGAGTCTTTAATATTTATTTTATTATATGGTCAAGGACCTACAAAGAGTTTTCAATTGTATTTGGGTTACTTTCCGCAAGTCAAAAACAATCAAGACATTAAGTTATACAAAGGTTTCATAAAGACAAAAACAATACAAGAATACCGAATTATTTGCATATTCTATTTTTGAACCATTTCTGATATGAGTCAATTTGCTATATCAACAAAATAATCAATTTCTCAGTCAGAGCTACAGTAAAAGGCTACATTTTCTGCAAAATCACTGAAAAGAAACAAATCACTGAAAACATTGATCATGTATTGTCTATGAATTTTTTGCTGTTGATTACACCTCATTGTCTATAAGCAAGCTGTTAAATCATTTGACTTCTCATGCCAAGGAAAACTAAACTAAGCTCACAAGGAAGCAAAACCTTTCTGTTATGTACAGAACAACAATGACTCCCTAACAAACCTCACACAGCTTTAGATTCTGGTTTATTAGCAATGACAGTAAAATGGGAATCTGTTTAGATGTAATGAGATTATTTGCTTCCTCCTCAGTTAAATTTAGCCACTCCTGCAGCATTCTCATGAGCAGTAAGCCAGCAAATTTCATTACTCATTCAGTAGCAGAGTAGTTATTGTTTACTAATCATAAGTCTACACAAACAACTCTGCAGAATCAAACCAACGATACATCTAATGTAAATCAATTTCCCACAGCAGCTAAGCAAAAATTCTAGAAAGACCACATAGAGTTCATGAAGTTTACAGACATTTTAATTTCCATCAGCTAATAATATCCTTTAACTCCATTAAAAAGTAAATTAAAAAACCCTTTTAAATATATTTTAGTCTATGCTCCTAATATATTGATATATTGTGCATTAATTCAATCCTATAAATGAACACAATCCTCTTTCAATGACTATAATCTTTCAAAAATAATCTTTCAAAAACTATAAGAACAAGGGCAGATAAGAAAGGATCAGTTCAACCTGCAAACCAGGGACAAAGAAATCTCAGAGTACTTAACTTTTCTTGGCATAAAAATTCACTGAAGAGAAGAGAGAGAGAATGTGCATGCATGGTGAGATTCAGAAATGTATGTGCAAATTAAGAAAATCCCACCATATGCTACAGCTAATCAGTAATTTCTTTCTAGTAGACATAACCTAAAGGTTAGTAATAGGAAATATGCTTCTCTTGCAGAAAATCCCAGGATCAATCTCTGGTATCTGAATTTATGATCTGATAACAGGTGCTTGGACAACTCTAAGAGAGCTGCAGTTAATAATCATAGTGGACAACACTAAGAGAAATAAATATACTATGTGGATAATGGTTTCTTATATGCAGTGCCAGTTTATTTGAATCATGACACAACTACTTTATAAGTGGCTGCTGTTTATAATATAACTATCACTATGTATACTTTCTGACATTTCACTCTTACATTATACTTTCTTTTATTCCATTTGTTAATAAATATATAAACACATACCTGAAGCTAAATATATAAATATAAATCTGAAATTGAGAATATTTCATGCATCTGAAAAAGTGGGCTGGAATCTTTAAAAGCATATTTGTACATTTTTAATGTGCCATAAGAAAAGTTGATTTTCCATAACAGAACAGTATGTTTTATTGGAATTTTTTGCAAATTAATCCCAAATGTCCTTATTGTAAGTCAGAAGGGTTACCTGTCGGTGAGGATGATAGCATGGAGAAATGATTTCTGTTATACAGCTGAATGAATCATGAACCCCATATATAACAGAGTTGAAGAGAGATCTTTAATGAACAAAAGAAATGCAAAGCTATAATAAAAGTGGCCAAAGAAAATGGTTGTAAGTACTTTCAGTATTTGAGACAATGACAAACAGTGAAATCTACAGAAATAGCTTCACACAGGAGACCAGTAAAATACTGCTGCAGAAAAATGATGGTACAAAAGGATTTCTTTTCTGCAAACTTTTCCTTTCTAAAGCTTCTGTGCTTAAAAAAATGGAAGGAACAACAAAAACTATGTAAAACAATGCATTTCCTAGTATTCAATATTTTAAATAAGACAACAGAGGCAAAATATGAGTGTGCAAAAGTAATTTAATTTGTACACAAAGCTGTCAGCAAAAGAGAAAAAACAAAGCATGGAATGAGGAAGAGGGAAGCAAGCCTTCACATATTCCAAAGACTCTTTAAAAAGTGTAATGGAAGTATCTGCCAAAATTTTGTCCAGCAAATGAGAAAAAAAATATGGGCTGCCGCAATAGAAGATGGATAACAGAATGTTATTTAAACCAAGGCTAAATAAATAAATCAAACCACAATGTCCTTCTCAGTTTTACAGCTACTATTCTGTTTTTACTCTTTAATACATTCTTCACATATTTTTTCAGTCAAACAGAAAGTGCCAGCATCTGTATCTCAGTCTCAGAAGATCTGGTATTTCCTGAAAATAAGAAGCATAGTCACAGATTCCTATCTTACAATGGTATAGTTACAAAAACTATATTCCTAATTATATACAAAAAAGGTATCATGATTCTAGCTAGGTCATTTGGAGATCACCCTATTTCTCTATTTTAAAAAGGAATTCAAGATTTGCATGTCGCATCACAAAAGCCCCAGGGCTATACTCAAAAGCTTATATAGGACTAAAAAGGAGACCAGAGCAAAAGCTTACATAAAATGATATTTAAAAAACCATATAAAGCTAGATGTTTCCAAAAAATCCAAAATGGCATGAAAGCCCTAGCCAACGGGACAGCACACTCTCATATATACTTGTACACTAACTACCCTTTTCTAAAAAAACAAAACAAAACCCTGAAATTACATTTAGTAATATAGTATCCTCTTTTTCCTGCTATCTTCACACACATATACACATATGTTAAGTAATATTCAAACCATGTTGTCCTCAAGTGGGAAATTTGAAAAGAAGAAAAAGATGCAATTTAAAATACTAAACAACTTTATATAAAGTAGTTTTTATAAATCAAGTTTAACTTAATATAATGTTCATTTATAAAACATTTTCATCCTGGTTACTTTTTTTTTTTTTTCAAACTTTAACCTATCCCTAAACAATGTTTCCAAGCAATCTAAAACACCGATTAACTTTAGAAAGTAAATTCCCCATAGGCCACGCAGTTATCTTTATAACTACATGGGATTGGAACTAGCTAGTCAAATTGAATGCTCCAAAATTCAGCAATTCTGAAGATATTATATTACAGGTCAATTTACTAAAAAACAGATTTCTAAAAATCAAATTCAAACTTTGAAGGAAGCCAGTGAAAAGTTCTATAAAAGATAACTGATCATAAACTAAATTGAATTATAAGTCTCAATTAAGAAAAACAACATACTTGCGGGGGATAGAAGACAGTGAACTGGCATACTTCCAATGTCTACTAGTTGATGAGACTTTTACAAAGAATATTGGACTGATTAATTGTTAGTCTAGATTAGCAATGTTGGGCTAGATCCAGCAAGACACATACATTCATAAGCAAAAATGTACACTTGGGATCACTTAACAAATTAGCCATGCCTTAATACTTAAGAAATCTGTCTGTAGCCTTGCTTTGTAAATATAATACACATGATGGATAATCAGAACCCTGATTTGTAAAAAATAGTACATGCAAGATTAATTACAGCCCTGGTTCTTACCATTTAAATTTTGACTGACATGCTTGGTTTGGAGAATATTGGATATGCTGAAATCTGTCATGAATAGGGCACAAAACATATTTCAGATTCCTATGCTCCTGTAAATATTTTCAGAAACCAGGAAGTAACCATTTTTTAAAAATCTGTGAAGAAAAACATCTGTGTAGTGCATATGAAGTGAAGACCCTTGTAGGCCCTGTATAGAGAACTAACAAAACATTTATTTGGAATAAGCATACCATTCTGACACTTCCCTAGAAAGAGCTGAAGAAAAACTGGCAAATTATACATTGTCTTTCCTTTCCAGCCAAAGATGAGAAGGGTATGTGTGTGAGTGACACAGCCCTCCCCAATGGCTGGCAAAAGCAGCTGTAGGAGCAGCTGGTCAGTCACCAGTTTGTGGTTGTAGATAGAAGGGATTTTCTATGCCCAAGCATGGTGGTTCATAGTATACATTGACACTGTAATACTGTATATGTTGAGTTTTACATAAGAGAAATACATATATAAATGAATAAAAATGCCTCTTGACACAAACCATGATCTATTTGCCAGAAGCAGTTATATATAATGAAGTTTGTACTCTTAAAAAAACCCTATGGAGTCTATATGCATGTATGTGAATATATTTGTGTGCATGTGCACACTCATACACAAGTGAGAAACATTTACTCTCAGACTACACTTCAAGATAGCTAACCCAAAGTAATATAAGTAGAAAATTCTGAAAATAGTAATCTAAAAACATAAAGCTATTGATTCAAGCAGTCTCAAATAGGGTGGAAAAATTAGCAAAGGTAGTTAAAAAGTATCTCTCTATGTTTTTCAAATATGAGGTCAGTGTCATGAGCAGATGAGTGCAGGAATTAATGTTAGGGTACAGAATTCTACTTTGCCTTTACTGTACACACAAATCTGAACAAGGGACCAGCAGAAAGATAATATCTGTACTTACAGGATGTAAACTGAATTTATAGCAAAATGGACATAAAACAATACGTTGTTTCAGCCCATGATCATGAGAAAATACTAACTAAAAAGGAAAAAAAAAACCTCCTATGTTCATAACACATAGTACAGTAATCAATCCTATTAAAAAGCAAGCATTTAAATAATCAGCACTTTTCTATTTACTATAAACAGATTAAAATATATTTAATTTCTTGAAGAAATTTAAATTTCTTGCACCCTGCACCCAGAAGCTCATGTTTGCTTTGACATCCATGGTTTCCCTAACAGCTTGCCTTCCTAAGAAGTGAAACCACTTTTTCTATGCCACATCTGTTCATATATCCTCTCCTACTAACTACACACATGGCCAAAAGTATTGGTATCCCTCCACTTTTCCCCCAAAGAATCCCAATTTGCTGTGAAATAAGTTGAAACTGACACAAGTAAATGGCACGCAATTCTTTATTCCATAGTCCATAGAGCGGATGCTTTGCTTTTGATGTATGACTTAACATATTCTTGAAAATAATAAAAAAAAATGAAAATGGCATGGACATAATTATTGGTACCCCTTAGAAGTTAAAAGGCATTATGGTATTTTAGTGACTATTTACTTTAATTAGTATCACAGGTGTTGTCAATTTCATAATCAGTCACTCAGCCTATCTGAATGGAGAAAAGTACTCTCTCAGGCATTTTGTATTATTATGTGCAGCACACTGAACATGGACAAGAAAAGCAGAGTTGTCTAAGGAGGAAAAAAATGAAGGTAATAGCCAAGTATGGTAAAAGTAAAGGCTACAAAGAGCTTCATGTTCCTGTGACCACAGTTACTAATATTATCAAGAAGTTTAATGTTCACGGGACCACAGCCAACCTCCCTAGAAGTGGCTACAAGAGGAAAATTGACCCCAGATTGAACAGAAGATAGTTCAAATGATGGAAAACGAACCAAGGAAAACTTCAAACCAGATCCTGGCAGACCTCCAAGGTCAAAGCACAATATCAAATCTCGCCAACCATCACCGTCTGACTGAAAGTGGCCTCCATCATAGAAGACCCAGGAAGACCCCACTTCTGAAAGACAGACACAAAAAAGCCTGACTGGAGTTTGTTAAAATGCATGTTGACATGCCACAGTCCTTCTGGGAAAATGTCCTTTGGACAGATGAAACAAAATTATAGGTTTTTGGTCAGTCACAGCAGCTCTATGTTCACAGAAGAAAATGCTTTTAAAGAAAAAAAAAACACCATCCCTACTGTGAAACATGGAGGAGGCTCCATAATGGAATGGGTTTGCTTTATTCCCTCTGGGACCAAGTGCCTTGAATCTGTGCAGGACACAATGAAATCAGAAGTTTATCAAGGCACTCTGGAGCAAAACATAAATGTCCATGTTAAAAAGCTCTATCTCAATCATAGGTCATAGGTCCTCTAGTAGGATAATGACTCAAAACATACATCTAAGGGAACCCATGAATGGTTGAAAAGCAAACATTAGACTGTTCTGAAGTGCCCTGCTATGAATCTATTTGAACACCTATGTAAAGAGCTGAACTCAAAGTTGGGAGAAGGAACCCATCAAACTTAAGACAACTGGAGCACTTTGCTCAAGAAGAGCGGGACAAATTACCAGTTGAGAAGTGTAGAAGTCTTATTCTACAAAAGCACTTCATTACAGTTATTGCCTCAAAACTGTATGCTATGAAATATTAGGTTAGGGGTACCAATAATTATATCTATGCCATTTTCATTTGTTTTATTATTTACCGATACTTTTGGCCATGTCTGTATGTTTTGTACAAAAGCCTTTATACCCTAATGCTCAGACTGTTTGGAATATTGAAGCTGCTCCTAGAAACCCTTATCTACTGGGTTTATAAAAAGCAAAAATATCAATTGGGGTCCCCTATATGTACACTTTTTTCTTTCAGGCTTTTTGAACCAGAATACCCCCTTCTACACAGCTGATTGTTTCAGCCATAAGAGCAGTACAACTCTCACCACTCCTTTCCTGCCAAGTCTACAATGTTTACAGTTTCTCAATATTCAACACTCGATGTGTATCTTTTCCCTTTCGTCTGGCCCCTGCCTCTTAGGTATAAAAACCTTGCTTCTGTCTAGAATGCCTATTGTCATGTCTCCTGACTGAAAACCACTCGAGTCTTTTCCATTTTAACCAGTGAGCTGATGAGATGCAAGACAATAAGGAAATCAAATTCATGGAAAACTACAGGGACTAAAGATTTTCTGGTCTTATGCTAATTAATCTGGATATTTGTTTTGAGTTTGAGGATAAAGTGAGGACAAAACTAGTCATCTTGTAACCAACTCCCTTTCGATGTGCATATATAATAGAATTAACTTATTTATTTCTTTACAACATTTATATTTTACCCACTTTAAAGCAACTGTAGGTGATTCACATTCCACAAAAACACTTTAACAATTATTTAAAAATAGAATACCACAGAGAGTTAAAACAGCTACTAATCCTACATCACAACCTCCAAACACTGATTGAAAGAACCAAGGTGTTGTGGGTTGCCTAAACGTTAACAATATTAGCGACACCCAGATTATTTCAAAGGGACAGGGTTGCTACTGAGAATATCTATTTCCAGGCTCCTGTCCCCACCATCAATTTCTGTAAGAGAGGAACTTGAAGTATTCCCTTCCAGCTTGCAGGTCAAGCAGATTCTACTGGAAGGAGACAGTCCATTAAGAAACCCTGGCTCAAGACATTCAATTGGACTCAAACATATTGGCAACCAAGGCAATGCCCACAATGCTGAAGTGGCTCTCACCCACCAGCAGAGATGATGTATTCTGAGGCAACTGCATAAATAAAGTAAAAATAAACAGGTATGTTTCTTCTTAGCTTATTAAATGTTACTCAGGAATTCTGAGGACAATCTGAAGGAAATACTATTTCTTCTGAGCAGAATCCTGAGCTAGAATCTTCTTTCACAGCTCCAAATCCGCAGGGAAAACAGTGTGCCTATTGCTGGTGAACCTACCGTACTTGCAAAACCTTGGCTGTGTAACAAGGCTGGGCCACCATACATAAAAAAAAAACAAAACAAAAAACTCCAGGTTCCATCCTCAGGTACAAAAACAGGGTCTTTTTTTTACTTATTTCACCATAAACACCCCTACTTCAGCACTGCTCCTGGTCTTCATTTTTGGCTGGAGGAATAGTTGAGCAAGAAGCTGAACTGCTACAGCATGTAAGAACTGCTGTTGGTGAGAACAAACAGGGGAAAGGCACTGTGGAATTAGGATGACTTAAGAATGCTTCAAAGACAGGATAGATGACAGTGTCACAGAGGTAAAAAAATCTCATATTAATATAACTTAAAATAATTTACTACCTTTACTTAAAGTATTTGATATTAATAACACTTTCATTATTCATGAACAACTAAGTATAAAATGTAGTCAAAATTAAGCACTATTAAAATCCATTTATTACGATAATGGCACTATATATATGGCAATCTTTTGTTCACTGAGAAAAAGCCCACTGAATTTGACTGTACAGACAGTCCCCTAGATATGAACTTTCAACTTGCAAACTTCTGCCGGTACAAACAAGATGGATCCGGAAGTCGGAGCCGGAAGCTGGGAGAAGGTGTGTTGCAAACAAACCCTTTCCTGCCATCTCCTGACTTCCGGTCCTGATTTCTCGCAAGTTTGGTTGTGTTTGCTATGTGACAACTGCAAATTGCAGACTGCAAACATCTCAATTCAGCACAAGAGGGTTGATGGGGAGGGGGGTAGTGCAAAGAAGTGGCAATCAATTATGATGCTCACAAAGATGGAGATATTGAAGAAAATGGTGGGAGGGAGAAGATGGCTAACGAGGCATGTTCCTACGGCATGAATAATTCCACAATTGGAACAATCATTAAAAACAAAGACAAGATCACGGAACATGTCAAAAGTTCAGTGTCTATGCAATCCACGATAATAAGCAAGAGAGGAAAAGTGATGGAAGAGATGGAGGCACTGCCCGGCATGTGGATCAAAGAGCAGCGTCAGTGGTGTGTGCCGCTTAGCCTAATGCTGATCCAGGAGAAGGCTAAGAGCTTATTCCATGACTTACAACAGAAGGCTGGTGAAGGTGCTGCTCAAGAGGCATTCACTGCAAGCCATGGGTGGTTCCACCGCTTTAAGGCTCGTATGAACCTTCATAATGTGAAAGTCAGTGGCAAGGCAGCAAGTGCAGACAAGGCTGCAGACAAGGAAATATTCAATGTGGATGAAACAGGGCTTTACTGGAAGAAAACGCCTGCATCAGCAAGGAGGAGATTATCATACCAGGCTTCAAAGCTGCGAAGGATAAGCTAACTGTGTTGCTAAGTGGCAACGCTTTTGGTAACCTGAGCCTAAAACCACTGCTAGTTTACCACTCTGAGAACCCACAAGCTCTCAAGAACATCTCAAAAAGCTCACTTCCTGTTGTGTGGAAGACTAACAAGAAAGCTTGGGTCACCCTCATCTTTGAAGACTGGTTTTTCCACCATTTCATCCTGGAAGTGGAGAGGTACTGCCATGCAAAAAGCATCAACTTCAAGATTCTGCTCATGTTGGATAATGCCCCAGGTCATCCATCTTACCTGAACAATTTCCATCCGAACGTGAAGGTTGTGTATCTGCCTCCCAACACCACCTCCCTCCTGCAGCCAATGAACCAGGATGTAATCTTCAAAAAAATACTATCTTCGGCGCACATTTAGGCAGGCAGTCCAGGCAACCGAAGCAGACTCCCAGATGACCTTGCGCCAGTTTTGGAAGTCCTACGACATCTACAAGGCCATCAAGAACATTGATGCAGCCTAGTGTGAGGTTATCCCCATGAACATGAACAAAGTGTGGAAACGTCTGTGTCCTCAGTTCATTCATGACTCTCGCGGACTTGAGGTGGCAAAAAGGGAGCCTCAGGCTGTTATCAGCAACTTGGTTGCCCTCAGCAAGGAGCTTCAACTCAACCTGGAGGAGGGGGACTTTCATGAGCTGCCAGCTGCACAGACAGAGGACCTTTCCAATGAAGACCTCATGGAGTTGGAGGAGCAGCAAAAACAAGAGGAAGAGGAAGAGACTGAACCAACGAAGCAGTTCCAGACCAAGCTGATGGAAGAGCGGTTCAGCTTAATTGAGAAAGTGCTATCATAGTCTGAGATGCAGGACCCTAACGTGGAGTGCTTCACCAAGGTGTCTGCAGCTGTGCATGATGCAATCCAGAGCCACAGTATCATTTATAAGGAGAAGAGGAAGACCACCACCCAAAATTCACTGGACCATTGCCATCTCTGCAAGCACCTACACCATCGCCGCAAGCGCCTATGTCAATGCTGCCACTTATGTAAGGTATGAACTGTGCCTGTTTTTTATGCTTGTTGGACTGGTGAACAAAACAGACTTTTGTACTTACTACCAGGCAGTCAGTATAAGACTGTCATCTGAGATGTCCCCAACTTTCCCACCGAAATAAGGGGCTTTAAACCTTTTACATTTGACTAGTTTTTGCTAATAACATTTAGTCATTTCTTTTTCATAAGCCAAAGTTACTGTTTAATTTTAAAATAATGTTTAAAAATTAAATTCTATAATAAAAGAAAAAAGAGCTTACATAAATTGTATGACTTAAACACTCAACTCATGAAATGAATCTAAATATCATTATTTATGCTAATAGAATTATTCCCATGACATGGACCCTAAGGGATCTTGAGAATTATCCAGACTAAAATTACAGAATCTCTACACGGTTGTAGTAGCAATGTTTTATACATGCTATTATAATAAAGGTGGTTTTCAAATTAATATTGGAGGAAATCTATAAAAGATGTGAACTTAAAGTTTACAAATTCAGCAGAACTACTCTTTACATACAATATGCCAATTTTGCACAATTCAATTTAGGGTAATTCCCATCAACTTTTGGCCTTCTAGATGCAGACTTCAGCATCCATGCTATTCACTGGCATGTGATGACCTCAGAAGCTTTTCTATTAACAAAGAGGAAAGGAAATTTTATTCACAGGTGTTAAGGTGCTAGGTAGACATATTGTACAATTCAGGCAAGTGTATTTACCAGTCTTTTCAATTTAATGTAAAAGTAAGAGTTTATGTTTTTTTCATTGCTCCAGATAGAAACTGTAGATTGAAATGTGTATTTCTGAAGAAAATCTAGAAAGAAAAAATATTTTAAATACAGAAGACCAACTCATTTTTCAGTACACATGAAAATGGTACAGTACAACTAATCTCTATTAATTTCTAACGTTCTTAGAAATATCTTTTTAATTGTGTTTGCTTACAGCAGCATTTCTCAAACCATGGGTTATCACCCATGAGGGAACATGAGACAATGAATGAAGAGAATGGTTGCCAGAAAGTACCTTCCTTAAACTCCTTTCTGAGCTTCCAACTTCTTTATTTATAATGTCTTTGTCATTTTAATTTCTATACCGCCCACTTGCAAATGACTCTAGGTGGTTTACAAGAGGTTAAAAAACAAACAGTATAATCAATTTGCCATATAATCAATTTGATACAAAAGTATGTGGAATGTAAAACAACACAACAGTTCCAGAGCTCTGTATGATGCCTAAGTGCACTTTTTTGTTTTTCTTTTAACACATTGTGTTTGCCTTTCAAAGGTGGAGTAATCATGCCTGGGGGACATGAGCCTTCTATGAAAAGCTCTGACTCACTCTGCAGAAGGCATTAAGACAAAGGGAAAGGAGAGCTGTGACTGCTATCTCAGTATGGCAGCCC